AAGAGATCTGGATCAACTACATAAGGTTCATTTGAAATAGTTCTTGCTTTCTTTTATTAAATGACAGAACAATTTGATAACTATTTGAAACCCCGTTTATTGTTCTTTCTAATCCAAAATGGATTAGAAATTTTGGAAACTCCTCGTTCTCAATTTGTTTAAAAAAATAATGAACCTTTAAATTGTTATTTTACCATCTACGATCGAGTTGCGAAATGCCTTCTTAGGGTAAGTCCGTATTTCCCTCCTCTAATATGTCATTTCGCGAGGAAAATGTATATATTATTACCTTATGACGTAATGTAAAGTGCCTTTTATATCATATATTTGTATTATCATTTCCTTATATAAACTCGACATTTTCTATTAATTTCTCTCAAAGTTGGGAACATAAATAAATGGGACTACTCCCTCGTGACTGTCTTCTAATAACAATTGGTTGTGAACTTGATTCGATGGACCTCCCTGTACATTGTGTTAGCATTTTCGAATACTGTCACAGTCGTACATTTTCAACCATACAACGTCACGATTTTGACACACTCATGAAAAATCTTTTTTTTTGCCTGACTTTATCGCTTCATTAGACTTTAGACAGGGTTCGTAACTAACCGAACATGACTTATATAGAAACTAAACTTCGTTCAATCATACATGTAACGACTCTAACCGACTTGCCTCTACTCTAGGCAAAGCCTAAGGCTCTACCTTACCTTTACCCTATGTCAAAATCCTTCTAATGCAATGTCCCATCTGATATAGTTGCTTTGATTATCAATCATGACCAAAATAAGTTAACAAATTTTCATATTATAATTTATGTCCATAGATAATTAACAACGTTTATATTTCACTCCTACTCATCATCTCAAGCTTAAAAAAAAAAATAAAAAAAAAAAAAAAATTCCCACATAAACAACATATCAAAAATATTTATTTATTTCAACATTAAAATCAAACTTTCAAATTTATGGATAGATGGATTTTTTGCCTGACCAGTTGTAGCAAATATCATAATTATCGGTTTTATAGTTGAACATACAGACATTTTCCTCAGTCATATGCCACGAACAAAGAATACTTTCACAATTATCTCTATCTCTCTTATCTATGTAGACATTGAAGTAATGAAACGAGCTAGGCCATTGGAAGGAACAGTAAAACAATGTCGTGCCCCATAAATTTGGACGAAAACTGAAGTCGTAGCTGGCCCAAGGTGTCAGCTTGTGGACTCCCAAGTCATCATTGCCAGATTTGCAGTGAACAGCGAGCTGATTTTTAGATTTTAGAGCATTTGTTATCTTGACCATAATATTTGGGTTTTGGAGGAATGATCCTTGGATGGTAGTCACTTGGTTAGCAAAGAACAATGAAATTAAGAGAGAAAGTGCAAGTGTTGAAAATAAACTCATGCGGTTGAAATGGGAGAGAAAAAGAGATGGGTATGAACACATTTGTGCTTGATTTGTTTCACTCTTTATAGTTGAAAAAGAGTAATGGAAGATGACCCAAAAATAAATAAATAAACTAACTCATTTGTTTGTATTTCTAGTTCTTTCATTCTTTTATTATTTTTGTAACATATGGTTTTGTGAGAAAGAGTTGGTCGAGTATTTTAGGGCCGTAGTTATGCGAGTTTGGGGTGGGAAGGGATTAGTTATTATTAATTAATTCTTTTATGTTTTATTTTTCTTTTACTATTGTAAAATATTTTATAATAAAAATAGAATCGTGATTGAAAATTGTTATTTTTTAAATTGAAAAATATACTATTGAAACTCATTCTGGGTTATTGCTCTCTAAAATTTTGAATTAAAAAAAAGTAAAACTATAATATGAAAACTAATTTTATGTTATGGTCGTTCGGGTTCTTCACCGAGTCTAATTTTCATAGTGTTTCATGGCCTAGTCCAACGAGGCTTTTATCTGGTCATCATATGTAAGGACCGAGCTGACTCGATACTCCAAAAAGGTGAGTAAACTTTAACGAAATATAACAAACAGTATTTAAAACATAACATTACTTAAAACAAAATAGTGTTCATACATGAGTAATTAAGACACAACACAATAGTTAAAACACAAAATAAGGACAAAAACATAAAATATTTCAAAACAAATGGGTTGAAGACGATGGGTGAGGCTTGTCTATGACACCTGCTCCAGAGTCCGCTCCCAACCTCGACTAGCTCCTTATTACGTGAAAAAAAAATGCAAAATAAGGAAGGAGTACAAGACTCAGCAAGTAGCCTACTTGTAGGCTCTTAATCGTGTCCTTGATATGCTAGGATACCGCACTCTATCTATTCTTGTTCTTGTTTCTTTTGTAAGTACTTAGGTCCTTTAGTTCCGTTTTTGACTTGGAGTTATTTAAGAATGAGAAATAGAACTGGGATCGAAAGTGCAATTTTCATTAATATTCACAATGTTTAAATAGGATACCGCAACACTCTATCTATTCTTGTTCTTGTTTCTTTTGTAAGTACTTAGGCCCCTTAGTTCTTTTTTTGAGTTGGAGTTATGTTAAGAATGAGAAATAGAATTGGGATCGAAAGTGCAATCTTCATTAATATTCACAAGGTTTAAATAAGATACAAGCTACCAACTAATACCTAAAATTAAAGGAAAATATAAACTAACTGAGAGTCGAATAAAATATACTACTAATCAAATCATAAAAGAAAAAAATATTAACTGATTAAGAATATATAAGATATATTTCAACACTAATTATTATAATACATTCTCCTAATGTTACATCTTAATACTCCCCCTCAAGTTGGAGAGCGTCTGTCAATCACACCTAACTTGTCTTTCAAAAAATTGAACCGACGTCTTCCCAAAGTTTTAGTGAAAATATCTACAAATTGCATTTTAGTCGAAACATAACATGGTTTGATGAGTCCAGCTTGTAATTTTTCTCGAACTATATGACAATCTATTTCTATGTGTTTCGTACGTTCATGAAAAACTGGATTGGCTGCTATGTGTAATGCTGCTTGATTATCACAATACAATAATGCTGGTTCGGACAGTGGAACTTTCAAGTCTTGAAGAATGTATCTTACCCAAGTTAACTCTAAACAAGTATTTGCCATCGCTCGATACTCGGCTTCTGCTGATGATCTGGACAATGCATAACCAAGAAATTGATTGTCTGGAAGTTCGACAACCGCCCAGTCTGAATCGCAATATGCTTGTAATCTTAAGTTGTTTTCAGATGGTAGTACAAGTTCTTGACCAGGAGTACCTTTGATGTATCTCAGAACTCGAAGAGCTATCAACCAATATGGTTTTCTTGGTTCATGCATAAATTGACTAAGCCTAAGGCTCTACCTTACTTTTACCCTACGTCAAAATCCTTCTAATGCAATGTCCCATCTGATATAGTTGCTTTGATTATCAATCATGACCAAAATAAGTTAACAAATTTTCATATTATAATTTATGTCCATAGATAATTAACAACGTTTATATTTCACTCCTACTAATCATGTCAAGCTTAAAAAAAAAAAAAAATCCCACATAAACAACATATCAAAAATATTTATTTATTTCAATATTAAAATCAAACTTTCAAATTTATGGATAGATGGATTTTTTGCCTGACCAGTTGTAGCAAATATCATAATTATCGGTTTTATAGTTGAACATACAGACATTTTCCTCAGTCATATGCCACGAACAAAGAATACTTTCACAATTATCTCTATCTCTCTTATCTATGTAGACACTGAAGTAATGAAACGAGCTAGGCCATTGGAAGGAACAGTAAAACAATGTCGTGCCCCATAAATTTGGACGAAAACTGAAGTCGTAGCTCGCTAAAGCTTGTGGACTCCCAAGTTATCATTGCCAGATTTGCAGTGAACAGCGAGCTGATTTTTAGATTTTAGAGCATTTGTTATCTTGACCATAATATTTGGGTTTTGGAGGAATGATCCTTGGATGGTAGTCACTTGGTTAGCAAAGAACAATGAAATTAAGAGAGAAACTGCAAGTGTTGAGAATAAACTCATGCGGTTGAAATGGGAGAGAAAAAGAGATGAGTATGAACACATTTGTGCTTGATTTGTTTCACTATTTATAGTTGAAATGAGTGTAATGGAAGATAACAGTTGATCCCTAATAACTCAAAAATAAATAAATAAACTAACCCATTTGTTTGTATTTCTAGTTCTTTCTTTCTTTTATTCTTTTTGTAATATATGGTTATGTGAGACGGAGGTCGTCGAGTATTTTAGGGCAGTAGTTATGCGAGTTTGGGGGTGGGAAGGGACTAGTTATTATTAATTAATTCTTTTATTTTTTATTTTTTTTACTGTTGTAAAATATTTTATAATAAAAATAGAATCGTGATTGATAATTGTTATTTTTTAAATTGAAAAATATATTATTGAAACTCATTCTGGGTTATTGCACTCTAAAATTTTGAATTAAAAAAAAGTAAAACTATAATATGAAAATTAATTTTATGTTATGGTCGTTCGGGTTCTTCACCGAGTCTAACGAGGCTTTTATCTGGTCATCATATGTAAGGACCGTCTGGGCTGTAATAAGGGTTAGAAAAGCTCGTTGAGTAGGAGAAAAACGAGAGAATGAAAAGTAATCATGAAGGGGATACCTGGTGACAGTTTTGGGACTTGAGCTAGAGGTTAAATGATTGGCTCCAAAAGACATTTATTATCATTAGAACAAGCTGGAGGCCGTTTTATACGAGTAAAACTTCTGAGTGGAACTGATGTATCAGGTGGGATAAGATTTGAATTAGTGGGTGAATCTGGAGAAGGAATAGAAGGTGGAGTGGACGACGAAGTAGTGGGAGAAGGAATAGAAAGTGGGGGAGGACTAGAATGGATGTTTGAGTAGGATGAATCATGAAGTGGTAAAATGGGAGTTGAAGGAGCTAATGTCAAAGTTTCTGAAGCTGATGAAAAAGGAAAATCAGCGTCACCAAATTTAACATCACGATTGATAAGAAAAAATTTAGATTGCATGTCATGCAACTTGCAACCTTTGTGACCACAAGGATATCCGACAAAAACACGAGGAATTGCCCGAGGTTCAAATTTTTGCTTAGGGTGTGTACTACAGTTGCATAACACTTACAACAAAAAACTTTAAGATGGTGAAATGTAGGTGGTCGTTTGTAGAGTGCTTCAAAGGGTGTCTATTTATAAGATAAACAGCAGTTTAATTGGTGTTCTATGTAGAGTGCTTAAAATGCACTCTACCTAACTTTAACTCGGCCTGATATTTCTTCTGCAGTTGGGGTTATGAGTCGGTACATGCAAAGTCCAAAGAAGCCTCATTTGGATGCAACTCGATGGATCTTGAGATATGTCAAAGGTACAATCGACTATGGTCTTTTGTACAAAAGAAACAAAGACTGCAAGCTAGTTGGATAATGTGATGCTGACTATGCATGAGACCAGGATACTCGGAGGTCAACCACTACGTATGTGTTCAAGTTTGTTTCGGGAACAATTTCTTTGTTTAGCAAGAGACAACCAACAGTATCATTGTCAACTACAGAAGCAAAGTATAGAGCAGCGCTGGAGCAGTTCAGGAAAGTACATGGCTGAAACTCTTGATGGAAGATTTGCACCAAAAAATTGAGTATCCAATATCACTTCTTTACGACAACCAATCTGCGATTCGCCTAGCAAAAAATTGCGAGATCAAAGCATGTGGAGGTGCAGTACCATTTCATTAGGGAGAAGGTCCTAAAGGAAGAAATCGAGATGTAGCAGATCAAGACAGATGACCAAGTGGCAGACTTGTTTACAAAAGAGCTGAATATGGGCAAACATGAGAGTTTTCTCTGTCAGCTTAACATGGTACCGCGATTGAGGACTAGTGCTGAGGGGGAGTGTTAAAATATCATCACTGGCCCAATAGAGTCAAGCCCAATAATTGTACAAACCCATTGTGTATTTATTTTAGTAGAGATTTTAGAAAAGATACTAGATATTTTAGGAAAGAGATGTCGATATTTTACGAAAAAAGATTTACATTTGTTAGGTCTAGATTGCGTAGGGTATAGTACAAATACCCCTCGACCCTACCTATTTTTTCATCCCAAGAAATCCCAAGCATTATAAAGTATTAGTATTCTACAAAGTGTCTTGCATTCTCTTCTCGATTGGTCTTAATAAAGAGTGCGAGTGTTTCCCATAGAGATTTGTGTTCAACATGCGGTACGCTTCCAATTCATCCCAGAGTGCTTTGACCTTGGTGAAATATGCTGAGAGTGCCATGGTTCCCTGTGACATCATTGTCATCGACTTTTGTATCTAAAAAATTGCTGGAGCATTCTTTTGTGAGAATTGATCGTGAAGATCAACCCACACTTGATGAGCTGTCGTGGCGTGAATAATTTCATCAGTGATATCTACTTCAACTGAATGAGTTAACCAAGATAATATCATATTGTTGTACTGATTCTAGAGTTCAAATTCGATTGAATTTTCATCTTGAGACGGTTCTTCAATAGTGCCATCAATGAAGCCAATTTTCTTTTTGGCAATAAGAGGATGCATAACTGATTTACACCAGGATTGGTAATTTGTTTCATTTAAATTGATTGGAACAAGTGAATATCCTGGCTGATCAGAGTGATGATTATAATAAAGATGTGTTATGTCAACATCCGAAATTTTGAAGCTGGATTTGAACTGATTCCGCCATAAAGAAATAATGATATTTAAGAACACCAAGATCGGTGCTTTGATACAATGTTAAGAATGAGAAACTAAATTGGGATCGAAAGTGCAATCATCATTAATATTCACAACGTTTAAATTGATGGTGTTAACATAACACATGCGGAAGCAATTTGGATCTTAGGCACTTTTAGAACATCAATTATAGTAAATAACTAGCATGTTCATAAGTATTAAAACGGAATGAGTTTGAATACTAACCTTTTGTAGTTCAAATTCCTTTTTCCTCACGAACCGGTTTCGAACCACCATTAGTGTCTTCTCCACTATCGTCCGGCCTTAGAACGGGATTGTGGAATCCGGTGAGTGACTAAACTTGGGAGGGATTTTGTATATATGAATAGAGTGTTGGTGACAGGTTTTTCTCAAGGTTTTTCACCAAGGAAGACCTTCCATGTACCATGATCACTCTATTTATAGAGTTATGTTTGCATGTTCATGCAAATTTGAGATCACCAAATTTTGACACTCAAAATTCCACTCAAATTTTTGGAATCCAAATCTAAAATGAAAAACAAGACTGAAACCATTTTATTGTATGAGGTCGAGGTACTAGAAACATTAGGTTGTTCGCAACACAAAGTCTCCTTCAAACATTCGACCATCTTATTTATTTCTAAAAGTACAACAAAAGAAACTCAAAAGAATGAGAGCCAAATGGATAGAGGCAGTCTTCTTTTTTAATTAAGGTTGTCTCTTATTTTGAAGTTCTATGGCAATGAACAATTCATCGGACAACATAAGGAGAGGAGCATATCTTGGGGTTCCGTCTTCCTGAAATGATGGGTTTCACATCCGCGCATTGGGAGGAAATAGGACCTTTTATTCCATTGTAAGTGAGGTCAATGTTGCTTACTTTTACATCGTCACATAGTAAGTGATGGCTGCAAATAAGTTTGATTGCCAGCGGAGTTGCAGAACTTCCTCTAATCTTCTTGAAGCTCACTGTGCTAATCTTAATTTTTGAAGGAATCTGAAAATTAAAATGAGACGACAATTGGTTTATTTGTGAAGTTATAGTGAAAAAATGAATCAAAGGTTCGAGAATGCGATCAATACCTGCCGATTGCACGGACAATACTCTTGGTCTATTAGAATAGGGTTGCTAATATTGAGCATTATAATGTCCAAAAAGTGCATATTGGTGGCGGTGCCGCTAGCAGTAGAAGCTGGCCACGTTTTGATCCTGACACCATTAGTGGTGTTAACTAACGTGCAGTTCTTTACGGTGACACCTTCAACAGGTTCTTCGTTAGTGTATCTTCCAAGACTTCTGATGCTTATTCCATGTCTTGGCCCGCATGTCACGTTGGTGACTTCAATTACTTTACTTTCATCTCCAAGAGAAATGCATCATCTCCAGTTGCAATTTTGGACTTTGTGATTGTGATCTTATTTGATCGACCGATGTGTATTCCATCAGTGTTGGGACTGTTTTCTGGTGCAGCTATATTTATATTATGGAACGTGAGGTTGTTGCAGCCGAGGACGTTGATATGGAAGTTCTTGCTATCAAGTGATGTTATTCCCTTAACGGTTGAATTGGTGATAAAGTTGAACCTCAAACTCTAAACATTTTGTATAATCAAATAATATTTTGTGAGGCTCGGTAATGAAGCTAAAAATTTGGACAGAACCCAATGAAATTGAAAACTAAAAAGAGATTCACTTTTCACTTGATTGTTGAAAGATTATCCTCTAAAAAATGAAGAACACTTACCAAATTATAAATGTCAGAACATTAGAGAAGACATGTAAGAGGCCCTTTAAAAAAACAACGAGATGCATGAGATTGAGAAGGAAAGCTGAAGGCATATTACCTACAACGGGGAGTTGGGCACTATTTATGCGTTTGTGGCAATCATTCCTTTTCCAAGCTGCTTTTCCTTGGCTATGAAAAACTCCTTCACCTGATAATGTCAATCTATCAACACGGGCAAAAGTGATCCAATTATCTCCCTGGACACTTTTTGGTGCCTGCAATGTTCCTCCAAGTTGAAAGTCAATTGGGCTATTACAAGGTCCTTCAAAATTCCCTTGCTTTACTTTAAATATCCCTCTCGGAATAAAAATTGCACTAGAACGATTGGACGTGCATGCATCCTTCCATGCATTTGCTAAAGTCTACATTTCTCAAGTTACAAAAATTATAGCAAACAATTGATCAATTCAACCAGTTATAATAGTGATGTTCATATTGTATATTTACCTTCCTGATGTCAGCACCAGACACTATGTTACCATATCTTGTAAAAGGACAAACAACATCGACACTAAATTGAGCATCGACGGTAAGAGATAACAATAGTAACATCAAAATTGTAGCAACCAAGAAACTCGATTTGATCGTACTCATGCTGCCTTTGCTTTCTTATATTTTTTTTATGTATATTCTTTGAAACTAGTGAGAGACAATGATATTTGGTTTTAGATTTGGAACTTTTTATGTATCTAATACAAATTGAAAATTAGGAATCAAGTTGGGATGAAACTAAAAGAAGTTATGGATCCATCTCCCTCGCTTCCTCCAAACATAAATTGATAACTAAAATATTTAACTTTGTTATGCATGTTGGTGTTAATATAACAAATGCGGAAGCAATTTGGATCTTAGGCACTTTTAGAACATCAATTATAGTAAATAATTAGCATGTTCACAAGTATTAAAACTTAATGAGTTTAAATACTAACCTTTTGTAGTTCAAACTCTTTTTTCCTCACGAACCGGTTTCGAACCCACCCTAGTGTCTTCTCCACTATCCTCCGGCCTTAGAACAGGATTGTGGAATCCGGTGAGTGGCTAAACTTGGGAGGAATTTTGTATATGATAAGAGAGTGTTTGTGAGAGGTTTTTCTCAAGGTTTTTCACCAAGAAGAAGAAGATCTTTCATGCACCATGATCACTCTATTTAAAGAGTCATATTTGCATGTTCATGCAAATTTGAGATCGCCAAACTTTAACACTTAAAATTTAACTCAAATATTTGGGATTGTGTGGCAAGCATGCATGTTTGAGTTAACCAAATTTTGACACTCAAAATTCCACTCAAACTTGTGGGTTTATTTGGCAAGCATGCAAGTTTGGTTAAACCAAATTTTGACACCTCAAAATTCCACTAACATGGATTTTTTCATTAAATGAAGTCAACATTTTGACTTTCTTATTTGAATAATGAATTTCAAATTAAAGTAACATTAAATGATTAATTAAACTATTTAATTAATATTTAATATTAATTTAAAAGCCAATCCCAATCCATTCCGACACATAATTGATTAAGATATTTAAATCTTATTTAAATATTTTAGATTCTCTCTTTTTGTTTAATTCGTAAATAAAACAAAAATGCGGTTAAACATATCAGATATATGTAACGCATTGATATGAACCAAGAGACATCAATCATACAATATGCTTCAATGAAGATGTGGAGAAAAGGTTATCAAAATAATCAAAAGATGTTTCAATTCATGCTACATTGAAGAAGAATAAAGTTTGATTGTTGTAAATTTTGGGTGGGTTATAATTTAGAGTAATTTAGAGTTATTGTATTTTAAGACTTTTTATTTAATTTCGGTTACATTTACATAATGGCTAATTATGGCCATAAAGTGTGAATGTTACAACTTTTGGAATGCCTTTAATAGTTTCATTTTGAGGCTATATAAAGCCATGTTTGTTGTATTTGTGAGGGAGACTGGGAAAATATAGTAAAAGAAGTATTTGTGCTTTTCTTTAGCCAATGGCTAATTTTCTTTGCAATTCTATGTAGTTTAGATTGCATATAGAATCATTCAAGCTCGACATGATCAATCTTGCTTGTGGAGTGATTCGAATCTCAAACAAGTGTTCTTGCGTTGAGATATTTGATCAACAAGAATCATTCAAGCTAGACATGATCGATCTTGCTTGTGGAGTGGTTCGAATCTCAAACAATGTTCTTGCCTTGAGATATTCGATCAACAAGGTAATCCGAATCTTATTCCCCTTGTAGTTGATTCCTTATCTTATCAGTGGGTTACAATTTAGAGTTATTGTATTTTAAGACTTTCTATTTACTTTATAGATTACATCTACATAATGGGTAATTATGGTCATGAAGCATGAATGTTACGGAATGCCTTTAATAGTTTCATTTTGAGGCTATATAAAGCCATTAAGGAGACTTGGAAAATATATTAAAAGAAGCATTTGTGCTTTTCTTTAGCCAATGGCTAAGTTTCTTTGCAATTCTATGTAGTTTAGGTTACACGTAGAATCATTCAAGCTCGACATGATCAATCTTGCTTGTGGAGTGATTCGAATCTCAATCAAGTGTTCTTGCGTTGAGATATTTGATCAACAAGAATCATTCAAGCTAGACATGATCGATCTTGCTTGTGGAGTGATTCGAATCTCAATCAAGTGTTCTTGCGTTGAGATATTTGATCAACAAGAATCATTCAAGCTAGACATGATCGATCTTGCTTGTGGAGTGATTTCGAATCTCAAACAATGTTCTTGCCTTGAGATATTCGATCAACAAGGTAATCCGAATCTTATTCCCCTTGTAGTTGATTCCTCACCTTATCATTTGGTATCAGAGCTTCAGGCTCAAGATCGGATATATGTTTCCTTTGCGTTTCTTCTCAATTTGATTTTTATTTATTTTCATCTTTTTAGTTTTTAATCGACCCAGAGTTCATAATTCAATCTTTGCTCTATTTAAAATTTTGAGAGGTGAGAATGAGAGCTTCATTTGTGCAACTCAGTGCAAAAAGAGTGGCCTAAAATTTCCTTGAGTGTATACTCGTGAGAGAGTGTTGTGAGGTCCTTGGTATTTCCATAACTTATTTTTTGCAGCAAAGTTTCACAAATAGATTCGAGGACGAATCTCTTGAAGAAGTGGAGAATGATATGAACCAAGAGACATCAATCATACAATATGCTTCAATGAAGATGTGAAGAAAAGGTTGTCAAAATTATCAAAAGATGTTTCAATTCATGCTACATTGAAGAAGAATAAAGTTTGATTGTTGTAAATTTTGGGTGGGTTATAATTTAGAGTAATTTAGAGTTATTGTATTTTAAGACTTTTTATTTAATTTCGGTTACATTTACATAATGGCTAATTATGGCCATAAAGTGTGAATGTTACAACTTTTGGAATGCCTTTAATAGTTTCATTTTGAGGCTATATAAAGCCATGTTTGTTGTATATGTAAGGAGACTTGGAAAATATAGTAAAAGAAGCATTTATGCTCTTTTTTAACCAATGGCTAAGTTTTATTTGCAACTCTATGTAGTTTAGGTTGCATGTAGAATCAATCAAGCTCGACATGATCAATCTTGCTTGTGGAGTGATTCGAATCTCAATCAAGTGTTCTTGTCTAGAGATATTTGATCAACAAGAATCATTGAAGCTAGACATGAACGAACTTGCTTCTGGAGTGATTCGAATCTCAAACAATATTCTTGCCTTGAGATATTCGATCGATAAGGTAATCCGAATCTTATTCCCCTTGTAGTTGATTCCTTATCTTATCATCTTTCATACTGGCTGAAGAAGATAAATCCAGTAGCCCAAACAAGATGTCCAAATAAGAACATCTGCGCCCCCGGACTGATAAACTATTCATACCAACAAGGATTATCATTATCCCATTGAGAAGTTGTGAAAAGTTTAACCATAGAGAATCTCTTAACCATCCCAGCAAATAAGTGGAAGGAATATGAATGAAAGAAACTGTGAAACGTGACCCTGCCTATGATGTGCTTCCAGTGCCAATCTAAAGTAACCAATGTTATTTCAGAAATCGGCCAAAGGCGTCCCGAAATATAACAAGTACCACCTCTTTATCCGGCATTCATTTGGAACCATGTCCATCTAAAGCACCTTTTACTAAGATCCATGGAGTTGTATGTAACCCTAATAGCATGATGAATCAATCAATCAGTCTCTAGGCCCCATTGTTCAGAATAGTGCATCATTACTATTTAACAGCATTGAACGCCCCTTGTTTCAGATAAAAGGACATCGAACCTATATTCAGTTTCACAATGAGAAGATTGAATCTATTGGGCAAATATGGGTGTTGATTAAGATTTCTTTGTATCTCCGGAGTACCGAAAGCAAGCATGACATCATTATGAATGAAGGTAAAGCCCCAAAGTATGGAACCTCCCCCCCCTAGAAAAAAGCTGGCCCAACTTCAATGGAATATATATTCTAGCTTCTTTTCTTTAATGGTCTAACATTCTTGACAATACATTATCTTCATTCTGTTCGGGATTGTAATCTCTAGAATATAGCTCCATGAGCAAAAGCTCCTGTCTGTCTGAATCCTGCTATGTATTGGTGATGGGTATATAACGCAGCTTGAGTAGAGTAGTCGAGTCTTCTTGTGCTGTGAATGCATAAGCAGCTAAAGAAAGAGTACATGTGTTGAGCTACCAAGGAAGGAAGGTAATGATAATGAGAGAGAGGAAGAACCCCGTCAGAGGCTAAAGCAAGGCAAGGCCTAATTGCAAATGAAGCTAATTCTTGATTGTGTCATAACTTTATGTCCACGCCCCAATCAATTGTCCCCAGAATATGTGCTTCTAAAAGATCTTTTATACTTTGTCCCGAAGTTAGTTCGTTCTATCTCTACATGTGACCAGCAACAAGAAAAATAAATGCAATAGCTAAGCTAAATGATCATGAGCCATATCAGTCTGCCAGAAACTTTGCGTATGGAGAATCAATCCCCAGAGAAAGAAGGGTTAGAATGTCAGTACCTGCTCCTTCGGAAGTACCAAATCAATGATTATTTGTTTGAATCGGGGTTTGTTTGTTTTGAGCATAAGGATTACACTGATCGGGCTAAAGTGGTCCTAATGGGGATGTGGCAATACGTCTAAGAAATGATAACTTCGAACAAACATCTATTCTCCCCCGGGATGCAGGAATAGCGACATGGATGAAATGGCCTGTCCAAGCCAAGGAACTGACTCCGAATGATTAGTCCTGACAAATGATGATTGAGACGAGATTCGGCATTTTGAAACCACGAAAGGCTCGCTTTCCATTTCGCTTGTAGGTGTAACCAATCCGCTATGAAAGATATGGCAGAAAGAAAGAAAGAATAGAAAAAAGAAGAGCTCCCCTCCTGTATAAAGAAAGATCCATACCCCTTACTACCTAAACCGATTGTATACCACCACTGAGAAAGAAAGAAACACCAGAATAAGCAAGGGAATTTTGAAGGACCTTGTAATAGCCCAATTGACTTTCAACTTGGAGGAACATTGCAGGCACCAAAAAGTGTCCAGGGAGATAATTGGATCACTTTTTGCCCGTGTTGATAGATTGACATTAACGGGTGAAGGAGTTTTTGATGGCCAAGGAAAGGCAGCTTGGAAAAGGAATGATTGCCATAAACGCATAAATTGTGCCCAACTTGTTGGGATCGATACCAGTCGTTAGCTCTGATACCAGTTGTTAGGATCGCACAACAACGCACACGCTCGATCTAGATGAACACAAAGAATGGGATAGAGAAAATTGCAAGGAGAACTCTAGCTAAAAGAATTTTTTTGTATTGATGACTTCACGTATGTATAGAGAGAATTATAGAGAAAAGTACATCTTCAAAGCTCTACCGGACAAGATATATATATGATTTAGTTTACTATATATAGCTTTACCAGATTTAGCCATCTACTATACATAGTTATTTACCATATATAGCTTTACCGAATATAGCTTTACCATATATAGCTTTAATAATATATATAGTTTTACCAAATATAGCTTTACCGGATATAACCGTTGACCAAGCTATAAATAAGCATCAGGCTCCATAGCCTAACACAACTCCCCGTTGTAAGTAATATGCCTTCAGCTTTCCTTCTCAATCTCATGCATCTTGTTGTTTTTTAAAGGGCCTCTAACATGTCTTCTCTAATGTTCTGACATTTATAATTTGGTAAGTGTTCTTCATTTTTCAGAGGATAATATTTCAACAATCAAGTAAAAAGTGAAACTTTTTTGAGTTTTCAATTTCATTGGGTTTTGTCCGAATTTTTAGCTTCATTACCGAGCCTCACAAAATATTATTTGATTATACAAAATGTTTAGAGTTTGAGGTTCAACTTCATCACCAATTCAACCATTAAGGGAATAACATCACTTGATAACAAGAACTTCCATATCAATGTCCTCGGCTGCAACAACCTCACGTTCCATAATATCAATATAGCTGCACCAGAAAACAATCCCAACACTGATGGAATACACATCGGTCGATCAAATAAGATCACAATAACAAAGTCCAAAATTGCAAATGGAGATGATTGCATTTCTCTTGGAGATGGAAGCAAACTAATTGAAGTCACCAACGTGACATGCAGGCCAGGACATGGAATAAGCATCGGAAGTCTTGGAAGATACACTAACGAAGAACCTGTTGAAGGTGTCACCGTAAAGAACTGCACGTTAGTTAACACCACTAATGGTGTCAGGATCAAAACGTGGCCAGCTTCTGCTGCTAGCGGCACCGCCACCAATATGCACTTTTTGGACATTATAATGGCCAATGTTAGCAACCCTATTCTAATAGACCAAGTGATATGATAAGGAATCACTACAAGGAGAGCAAGATTCGGATTACCTTGTTGATCGAATATCTCAAGGCAAGAACACTTGATTGAGATTCGAATCACTCCACAAGCAAGATCGATCATGTCTAGCTTGAATGATTCTTGTGATCAAATATCTCAAGACAAGAACACTTGATTGAGATTCGAATCACTCCACAAGCAAGATTGATCATGTCGAGCTTGAATGATTTTACATGCAACCTAAACTACATAGAGTTGCAAATAAACATAGCCATTGGCTAAAAAAGAGCACAAATGCTTCTTTACTATATTTTCCAAGTCTGCTTACAAATCCAACATACATGGCTTTATAAAGCCTCAAAATGAAACTATTAAAGGCATTCTAAAAGTTGTAACATTCATACTTAATGACTATAATTAGCCATTATGTAAATGTAACCGAAATTAAATAAAAAGTCTTAAAATACAATAACTCTAAATTATAACCCACCCAAAATTTACAACAATCAAACTTTATTCTTCTTCAATGTAGCATGAATTGAAACATCTTTTGATAATTTTGACAACCTTTTCTTCACATCTTCATTGAAGTATATTGTAGGATTGATGTCTTTTGGTTCATATCACCAAGAGTATTGTCTGTGGAATCAGTGCAATCGGCAGGTATTGATCGCATTCTCGAACCTTTGATTCATTTTAATTTTCAGATTCCTTCAAAAATTAAGATTAGCACAGTGAGCTTCAAGAACATTAGAGGAAGTTCTGCAACTCCGCTGGCAATCAAACTTATTTGCAGTCGTCACTTACCATGTGACGATGTAAAAGTAAGCAACATTGACCTCACTTACAATGGAATAAAAGGTCCTATTTCCTCCCAATGTGCGAATGTGAAACCCATCATTTAAGGAAGACAGAACCCCAAGATATGCTCCTCTCCTTATGTTGTCGGATGAATTGTTCATTGCCATAGAACTTCAAAATAATAGACAACCTTAGTTAAAAAAGAAGACCGCCTCTATCCATTTGACTCTCATTCTTTTGAGTTTCTTTTGTTGTACTTTTCGAAATAAATAAGATGGTCGAATGTTTGAAGGAGACTCTGTGTTGCGAACAACCTAATGTTTCTAGTACCTCGACCTCATACAATAAAATGGTTTCAGTCTTGTTTTTTATTTTAGATTTGGATTCCAAATAAGACACGGAACTGTAACAACCAATATTTAAAAAAAAACGGAATGATCATGGATTTATAAACAAAGAATATTCTCTCCATTGGTATGTGGCCTTTTGGGAACCTCAGAGCAAAACCATGATAGCTTATACTCAAAGTGAATAATATCATACTATTGTGAAGAGTTGTGTTCGTTTAACATCGTGAAGACCACAAAGACTAACAAGCTCAGAAGAGCAGGAAATTTGAGTTTTTAAAAAATGGGTAAAATTCAAAGGAATTTGGGGTACCCCAAATTCCTTCTCTACCATCCTCTCGTCCCAAATTAACAAATATGTATGCCGAGAAGAAGAATCATGAAATTAAGGGCATCCAAATCTATTTCTTAAGCTTGAGGGGAAGATAAGATTAAGGGCATCCAAATCTAAGATAACAGGGAGGAATAGATGCCTGAAAGTGTCTAGAATGCCTCAACTAATAAGAGAGAAAAAAAGGTATCCCAATGATCGCCTATAAGAGTTTTTCTCTAACAAGGATAAAGTTTTCTGAGAACTTTGGAAGCTTAAACTTTGGCTATGGTCTACAACGAGGTGAGTTCTTGGTCCTCTAGCTCTCTGAGAACTTTGGAAGCTTAAACTTTGGCTATGGTCCACAATGAGGTGAGTTCTTAGTCTCCTAGCTCTTCTTTACATGACTTGACTTTTTTTTTCCACATCAAGAATTCAAATAAGGTTTGACCTAATCTAATAAGGTAAAAATATTACTAGAATTTTTTCAAGTCTTATGAAAAAATTGAGGAAAGAAACGCTCTATCTTAGTTGTGGGAGAGATTTTTTAGACGGACCTGGCGACAGTCACGTGTCTTCTTCTCGTGTTTTGGGGAAGAAGATGATGACGTGGCTAGTTTAATTGAACTGTCCACGTCAGCCTAATTTCTCTCGTTTATTCTTAAATTAAACCTAATTGTGACTAGCTCTCAAGAAATTGTTTACCGTTCCATAAGCTAGACTCAAAAATGGATCTACCAAAAAAAATTTGAAACAATTTGGATACCAGAAGCTTAAGAACGTAGGTTTAGAACGCCAATATTAAGGCAAATAGTCAAATTAAACTTTTCTTAAGAAATATGTGGGAATCACTTGGAATTCAATATGAGCCTTGGATTAAGTTATACTTAAGAGATTTTGGAATAAATAAATTAAGAACCGTGAGTTAAGGACCTAAATCAAACATTTTGCTCAGAAATCAAGTAACGTTAAAATAACCTATTAAATGAACTATGTTGTACATAAATTTTAATGCTAGAGATAGTATGACGTAGTAAGGTTATATATGAAATTTGATGGTCATTGGATAAGGTTAAACAGTTAAACCAAGCAATTATGCAAAATGGTGCTAATGTCCTTATGGTAAAACATCTCCGGTTCATGACCCAAATAACCTCCAAATGTGATTAAATTTTATAATAGACCTTATTTTATTAAGTTAAAGGATCATAAAAAGCTTTAGAACTATTGAATCATTTTTTAGGCTTGAACCAAGTTTAAGATAGTAAATGATAAAATGGTTTGTAAAGATTTTTTTTGAGATGTTTCAAGGTCTAAACACCCTTCTAATGACTCAAGATTTTAGGTAAGGTCTCTCCACAAGGACATGAGTATTTACTTAAGATTTCAAGAAATTTGGATCAAATTTAAAACCTAAACCAAGTTAAGGCTTAAGGAAAACGGCAAGACTACCTCTAATAACTTTCTAACAAAGATTTATGATCTTTCTATAATATTCCAGAAATGTGTTATGACTTATGATACTTTGAATGACTTATACATGGATATATATAAGGTTGGATAAGGGCTTAAGAAAGTAAGATAAGACTTATGCTTCAAGAATAATCCCGGGAGAAAGAACCTAAGAACCCAAGAACTAAAACAATGGACCAAGGTACAACATAAGTCATAATTCCACTAAGAAAAGAATAATGTTTAAGTACTACTCAAGAACAATGGACCAAGGTCCGTAGACTTAGAAACCTAATAATCCTTTAGACCTCTCATGGTACAACATCTTCATGACTCAAACTACATTACTTGGAAGGAAAGGAGCTTTGGATGTAGGTTTTCAGACTGCATCGCTAGGAATGTAAGAAGCCTTAGATGAAGGTTTCAGACTACGCGAAACATATGAAGCCTTGGGCATAAGTTTTCAAATTGTGTCCCTTGGAACATATAAAGTCTTGGAACGTATAAACATATGAAGCCTTGGAACATAAGTTTTCAATAGTTTCAAACTATATTGCTTGGAACGTAAGAAGCCTTTAGTGTAGGTTTCAGACTATATCATAAGGAACACATGAGGCCCTAGATACAGGTCCAGACTACGTCACTAAGAACACATTAAATCTTGAATGTAGGATCAGACTGTGTTGCTTGGAACACATGAAACCTTGGACATAGGTTGTCATGTTCATGCCTTATACGGTAAATCTTTGGGAGAGTGTCTTAGGAAATCGAACGAAAAAGAAGAACAAAACTAAGAATAAGGATAAGAACTAAGAACGAACTAAGAACTAAGGTCAAGGACTAGAACATGAATCAAGATCTTCGTAGATAAATTAACGTTAAAATTTTAAACACATTTTCGTAGATAAATTAACGATTTGAAAGTAGTTAAAAAATGCATTTCGATACAATTCAAAGTTATATATTTATTTATAGTTGATACAATGTTTAGTTGATATTAGTTCCGAAAATCAAGATTATTAGAGAGTTAGAGAGAGTAACAGTACTTACAAATACCAAGATGTGCTTGATGAACCATCCCATTAAGAGGAACAACTACCTTGGTTGTTTGGTCAATGTCATTATCATTTTCGTTATTTTCTACTATTAAATTCATCCCAAATCTTCTCCATTCTCCTCCCACCTCCTCTCTAAATTTCCATTTCTAAAAAATTTTCATATAATTCCCTATTTTTAATATATACATTGGTGTGCTTGGTGGAGAAAGATGCCAGCATCTACGGAGGCACAGCTCGTAGTATGGTAGCGAACGCCAATCGATCCTCTCGGTACTCAATCGCTTCTTCTTCTTTCGGCTCGACAACGTGCCACAGACCTTGCACCTATATGTTGATGCGCATCCCCACTCAAGGCCAAGCGTGTGTTCTTTGAGCTCGACTCGGAAATTCACGGGACAGTGAAGTTTGGCGACGGCTCCAACGTCGAGATTGAAGGGCACGACACCATCCTATTCATCGACAAGGGAGGCAAGCACCGCAAGCTGACCGACGTCTACTTTATCTCGAGACTCAAAGCTAACCTTGTGAGCCTAGGTCAACTCGACGAGGCTATATATATATATCTTTTTTTTTTTTTTCATTTTTCAATATACCTTCCATAAAAAAAAAATTAAAAATGATAAACATCATAACAAATAATATAATATAGCATTAACTTCATTTCTAAAAACTAAAAATTCAATATTACACCACATGCTCACAAAGTTAGTTTTGATAATATATTTATATATAGACGGAGATAGATAATATAATTCCAGTTTACAACTATATAGTTAAGGTTGAATCAGTTTGGCAAGGAGTAAAATTTTCATTACGAATGATATAATTTTTAAGAAAATATATTTGATGCCAAAATAATTGATATTTGAAATCAAATTGGAGGAAGTGTAATGGGGACAGTAATGGCAGTAAACAAAGGATTGAAATGAGTATATTTTGAATCCATCCTAAGAGAAGGAAGTTGATTAAATAGTTTGAGTGAATGGCGACAAAATCCAAAACCTCGCTCCCACAATTCCAAGATAGTCTCCACCTCAGCCGTCTATAGCGGAATCAAAAGTCAAAGTCAACGTCAACGTCAAACTCAAACTCAAACCAATTTGAGATTCCACTACACCCCTACACAAGTACTATGAATTGCCCCTTTTTTAGGGGTTTTCGTTTTGGCCACGTATTCTCAAATTAGGGGTCGAGAAATGCAATCACGGTGGAACTTATCTTTTCATAAAAACATCATGGCCTTACACTCTACTTTTGAGTCCGGAAGTTGGATGTGCAGTTCTCTACACACAAACTACGTACATTCACATAGACCCACCAGGCGGGCTCGTCTACGTGCCCCTTGGGCCTAATTATGGGCTAGTGCACGCTCACGTTGTTGAAAATCACAGAGAGAAAGGAGCCATCATAATATCATAACGTGCATAATATCATAGTCTATGTGCTCGTACTAATTCTAACAGGAAAATGTCTCATAGTTTCAAATTATGAAATATACTTATGGTGCAAATCATACTCTCTTTCTTTTCATGACATAACGTTCCTATGAGACGCATAAGTATATTGGACAAATCTTTCATGGTTAACATAATATACGTGGCGTGACATGTGGAGGCTCATACATCATACAACATTGATATCTCAACGCAGTTTCACAACATAACATAATCTCATGTCATAGCATAAATGATCAGATAACATATCACACATCAAAGATCCTAACATCACAAAATATGACATGTACAACATACCACTCGTAGGCAAGACCAAGGAAAGAGGAAATTGTCAAGATGTCACGACTCGGTTTTTTAATCGAGTTCGTCTTTAGCCTTGTCCTTGATTCTTATCCTTGGTTCTTGTTTTTGTTCTTGTTCTTGTTCTTGTTCTTCTCCTTCTAGTTTTGTTCCCTTAAACACTCCCTAGGATTTACGCATACGACGCAGGTTGAACCTACGTCTAAGGTTTCATGCGGTCCAAGCAATGTAGTTTGAACCTGCATCCATAGCTCCTTGTGTTTCTTACTATACTGTCAGAAACCTACACCTTAGGGTTATTATGTTTCAAGTAGTGTTGTAGTATGAAACATGTGCCCAAGGCTTCATGAGCGATGCAATTTGAAAACCTATACCCAAAATTTCATACATTCCAAGCGACATAGCCGTATAACCTACGCTCAAGGCTTCATACATTTCAAACGACGTAATCTAATACATGCATCCATGGCTTCTTACATTCCAAGCAATGTAGTCTGAAAAACCAACATCCAAGGCTTATTACGTTCCAAGTGATATAGTTTGAGTCATGATTATGTTGTACTGTGGGAGGTCGAGGGGTTCTTGGATTCTAAGTTTGAGGACCTTGGTTCTTCATTCATGGTACATAGGGTCTTCATGCGTCAAGTTAGGCTGAGTTGCGTAAATCTTTTGGACCCATCCAAAAGTTTGGGTTGGTTGGACCCAATCCAACCCATTAATTTTCACAACCCATGTTTTGGATTGGGTTGTTAAATTTTTTTTATTTTTTTTATTCCTCTACAATTTATAATAGTTCGAAATAATCTTAGACAAAATATATTAAAAGTTCACAAACACATCAATCTATAATCATTAAAAAAAAAATCATCAACAACCGGTGAGAATTGTAATGTCCTTGACATAGTTCAACATTTTCATAGAACTACGCATTTTTTTAACTATTAGTTACTATAAAACTAAGGAAAATACAAGATTATGAAATTAAAAGGCAATTAGCTTGAAGAAAGTATGCATTACAAAGTTAAATATTTTAACCTTTAGTGAGACATACTTATGAATGACATTGATGAAGTTGGAGGGCTATAGATTATAAAAAAAATGTAAATTGTGATATAACAACGTACCGTTGCAACAAACAGATAAGTTACAACTTAGAATTATCTATCTCAATTTTTTAACAAAATCTTCAAATTAGGGAGAAAGATCTAATGAAACTAATTTTCTAACCATCTAATTTTGTGTCAACTGTTTTAGGTGTCAAAAAATTCATAAATAATCAATTATCCTCCAATGTTGATCTAAAAGCTACCTAAAATGCTAGAACAGTCAAAACATTTTGGGCAACTTTTGATAAAACTCCGTATTTAAAATTATTTACTTTCTACTAAGCCCAAAAAAAAAGAAAGATGGATGGAAAGTAAAAAAAAAAAAAAAATCCTAAAAAAAATTCACAAAGATAAAAATTCACAATTTCAAAAAGTTAATTTAAGAATATGTAAAATAAAAGCAATATGTTTTAAAATTACTCTAATCTAGAAATATTTGATTCAAAATAATTTAAGTGTATGCATAAATCACAATATATCTATCATAAACTATATTATTAAAATTAAGATGAATGGTCGTTTGTTAATTTATACATATTGTTATGTGTTTAAAAGGACAGTGGTTTGTTAGTCTATTCCTATTATAAACCATATATTTCTACCGTGTATTTAGAAATAGTATACAAATTTATATGATTATAATAAATTTATAATTAAATAGTACAAAGTCATCAAGACATTTCAAAGAACAAGGATAAATTTTAATATAGTTTAATTTTTCGTCAAACTTAACCGAATTTATTCTGTTTCACAAAATTAACCAACCCAACTCAAAATACTAATCCAACCCCAAACCAATCCCTATCATTCAAGTTGGGCCGGTTCGAATTGTCGGGTTCAATGTACATCTCTAAAGGTATCTAACATTCTTCTTGTTTAAGTAGAATTAAAGTTTGTGTTGTACTTGGTTATGGTCCTTAGAACGTTCTCTTAGTTTTTTGGGTTATTGAGTTCTTGATCTAAGAGTTACTTTAAGCTCTATTCCAATCTCATAAATCATGAACATTTCATAGTAATATGCATAAGTCAAAGTCATAACAAATTCTTTTGTCATTTCCCGCCTTAATGTATACCCTTAATTTGGTTTAAGTTCTAGCCTACATGTCCTTATACGTCCTTATGCTTAGACCTAACTTACATCCTTGAGTCATTTGGAGAGTGATGGGATCTTAAAATGTCTTAAAGGAACTTTAGAGGCATTTTGGTTATTTTCCATCCTAAACTTGGTTTGAGTTGCAAACATGAACCAATGGTTCTAAAACTTTACATAATCCTTAGACATCGTGAAGTAAGGCCTCTTATAAAGTCTCATGATATTTGAAGCTTATTTTGGTCTTGAACCGAAGATAAGTAACCATAAAGGATTATGGTCATTTTGTATCGTTACTTGATTTGGCTACTTAACCTTACTCAATGACTACCAAATTTTATGTATAACTTTAACATGTCATGTCATACAGAACAATCCATTTAGTAGGTTATTATAGTGTTACTTGATTCTCGAGCAAAATGCTTGGTTTAAGTTTTAACTCATGGTTCTTGATTTAACTATTCCATAATCCTTTAGAATTAATTAAGTTCCATAATAAAATTCAAGCAATTCCTACGAGTATTTCTTAATAAAAGTTCATATTGGCTATTTACCTCGTCGTTGACGCATAGGACCTTCGTTCTCGAGCTTTCGATTTTTTTAACTACTTTAAATTTTCTTTGGTAGATCCAATTTTTAGTTTAGTTTATGAAACCATAAAAAATGTTAGGAGAATAAGCCTAGAAGTGGTCTAATTTGATGATAATAATAATCATAATAATAATCATAATAATAATAATAATAATAATAATAATAATAATAATAATAATAATAATAATAATAATAATAATAATAATAATAATAATAATAATAATAATAATAATAATAATAATAATAATAATAATAATAATAATAATAATAATAATAATAATAACTAAAATGTGTCATGGTTTATGTGGCTAGTTCAATCGAACTAGACACATCATCGTCTTCTTCAAAGTAGATATTTCGATAGCATCAGTGTATGTTATGATTACTACGTACATCCGGATACTTCTCTGTTATGATTATTACGAACACGTACACTACGATGTTATGTTATGATATTATGTACACCATAATACTATGCATACTCTTTTCCCTCTATGATATTTTAGTAGCACGAGTGTACTCTAATTGAATGCTAAATCTATAGGGTACGTATACGAGCTCGCTTAGGGTTCATATGCGCGTACATGAGCCATGTGTAGAGAAGTAATACACATCTAATTCTACCAGGATTGAAAGTAGAGACTAATGTCAAGTCATGATATTTTTACAAAAAGAAAGGTCACATCATGATTGTTTACGCTTGCATTTCTATTCTTAAAATACTCAAGTGCTATTCTTATTTTTCAAGTAAAGGTAAGACACCCTTATATGGATGACGACATCACATTGAAGACCATGGAACCAGATTTAGGGTATCTACCTTCATGTCTTTTTAGTAGCCCTTTGGTTAGATCAATACATTATTTTTATTTTTATTTGTATTCATGTTATTTATTTTTTCGTTAGGTTGATGATACATTGTTGTTTTAAAAGAATTTCTTATTGATTATTCCCCTATACTTAGGTTACCATCTTCGTAATATCTTCACATAACATCTTCATGACTATGATCTATATCTGTCCCATACTAAATATTAATTAATTAAGTTTAACTTAGCAAAACATAACATAAAAAGTAAATGGAGGGAAAGAAATTGAATAAGAATAAGAATAAGGGTAATAACGTAAATTGAATAGATGTTGGCATTAGTAAATTGTTAAACAACGGTAATTTTTAAAAGTAACTCGAAATTCACTGAGCCTAAAGTTAAAATTTCACACAGATATTTACCCAAAATAAAATCTGATGAACGCGCCGCAAATCCTCTCTGTTTTTTTTTTTCTCTCTTTTTTTTTTTTTTTTTCTGTTGTGCGGAGAAAAATCCGTTTAAATCCCCAACCGGCTAAGGTATTCTTTCGAAGGACTCCAAAATCAAAGCTCGAGCCATAACAATGGCTATTCTTGCTCTTCCTTTGTTTGCCTCCTTCCTCAAACACCATACTTATTATCGCCTTTCAATTCGCTCTCGGAAGCCACTCTCTTCTAGCTTCTACAAATCCCCTTATCGCCGCCATTTTAACAAAACTTATGCCTCTGCCATTAGTCCTTCCACCACTCAGCAGCATTCATCCACTGATTCTGAGAGTTATGTCTCCAAGCCCACGATTCTTACTTTTCAGCAAGCAATTCAGCGTCTCCAGGTCATTTTCCTGATACCCAAATGCTTATTTCTTGTTTGCTTTTCTGGTAATGAATGATGGGTATTTTTTAAGGTAATGAATGAATGTTGAATGGAAGTTTTATGTTCTTATTACGTAGAGAAGGCGTCGTATCTGTTGGTTGGATTGTCCCAATGTTTGGTAGTCGAAATTTGGCTTGTAATCCACTTGTTTCTTAGATGTGTATGATGGTTTGCACGGTGAATTGGGATTGAAGTTTGAATATGGGGCATAATTGAAACATAAAATAATGGAGTACTTATTTCCACAAGCATTAAAACTTATGTTGCAGTCTATTAGACTTCTGTTTGTCTTTTTTTTTTTTTTTTTTTTCAGAGAATTACATGTCGTGAATCACTCAATCTAAATCAATAGATAATCTGAGTTCTTAAATCAAGATTTTTTCTTCAACACTCCCTCAAGTTGAGGAATAGATATTATCCATTTCCATCTTGGATACTGACTCATGAAATGTTGAGTTGTGAAGTTACTTTGTTAGTATATCTGCTAATTAGCTTAGAGGGCACATAACTAATGCATACTATTCCCTCCTATAATTTTTCTTGATAACATGTGGATCAATATCAATATGCTTTGTCTAATCATGTTGGATATGGTTGTCGCATTACAACTTTATCAAACCTTCTCCCTTAATTTGTAAGTCATCAAGAATTATCTTCAACCATAAGAGTTCATATAGCCCTTGTGCAATAGCTCGAAATTTTGATTCAACAGATGATCCAGACACTACATTTTGCTTCTTACTCCGCCATGTTACCAAATTACCTCCAAGAAAGGTACAATACCCCATAATAGATCTTCGGTCTACTATTGATCCAATATAGTCAGTATCAGTGTAAGCTTCCATTGCAAGGGAATTGTTTCGTTTGAACAAAATTCCTTTTTTTGGAGTTCCTTTCAGATAGCGTAACACTCTATATGCTACATAAAGGTGAGGATCCTGCGGAGCATGCAGGAATTGGCTTATTACACTTATTGAGTATGCTATGTCTGGTCGAGTGTGAGCTAGATATATTAGCTTTCTCACTAGCCTTTGGTACATTTATCTGTCCACTGCAGGTTGTTCGTTTGACTCATCCAATTCTAATGTCGATCCATTAGTATAGGTGTAGGTTTACATTCGCTTATTAATAAATCCATCACATACTTTTGTTGTGATATGAAAACACCACGAGGAGTATGCTACTTCAATACCTAGAAAGTACATTAGCCTTCCAAGTTTTTTAATCTCAAATTTTTGATCAATCTCCTTCTGAGTTCACTCTTTTCTTCTTCATTATCTCCCGTGACTATGATGTCATCTACATACACTAGAAACGTTGTAACTCCCCTTGTTTCTGAGTGCTTGAGAAAAAGAGTGATCTCCTAGATTTTGCTTATACCCAAAGTCTTTAACCATGCCCTTGGTGATTGTTGAAGTCCACACAAGGCATTTCTCAATTTGCATACTTTACCTTTTGTGCTTTCAAATCCTGGAGGAATGTCCATGTAGATTTCCTCATCTAGATAGCCTTGAAGAAATGCTTTCTTCACGTCAGAGTGTGTAAGCTGCCAATTTAAGTTGGCAGCTAAGGATAACAATTTTCCTACGGTGTCCATCTTTGCAACATGGGCAATGTTTCTTGGTAATCTATCCCATAAGTTTGAGTATATCCTTTAGCTACCAACCTTGCCTTATACCTTTCCAGTAATCCATCAGCCTTGTACTTTACTGTGAAAAGCCATCTACACTCAACTATATTTTTTTCTTTTGCATCCACCATTTCCCACGTGTTATTCTTTTCTAGAGCATAAATTTCTTCTTTCTTAGCATCCAGCCATTCTCTTTTGGTTAAAGTTTCAGAAACTGGTTTAGGTATAATGAATTTAGACTCATAATGAAACTTTTGTGTAATGAGGATAGCCTTTCAAGAGAGATATAGTTTGCTAGGGGGTATAAAGGTCGTTTTGTGCATTCTCCAGTGGGTTTCCGTAGAGCTATGGCTCTGTCATTTATTGATACCTGTGTTGCATCTTCATTATGGGTAGAGTTGGATGTTGGTCTATTATCTATTGGTACCTGTGTTGCATCTTCATTGTGAGTAGAGTCAGATGTTTGGACTTGTATTGGTTCTGAAATGACTTTCCTTCTAGCATATACCTGAGAGAACAACGGATTTGGTAATGGAGGTGGAACATATGGTTCAATTGGTAGCTCTATAGTAGTAGGAAAGGGCTCATCGATAGAAGGTGCGAACTCAATAACTGGTTTTGCATGGTGGTTATTTGGTGTGTCTAGGGGCTCAATAGTTTCCCAGAACTCTCTTCAATCTCTATATTCTCCCCTTGAAGAGAGGCCTTAGAGAAAAACGGTTTATGTTCTGTGAAAGTTACATCAATTGAAGTGTAAGACTTCCTAGATGTGGGATTATAACTTTTGTCCCCTTTAGTAAAAAATATCCTAAATAGACACATTTTCTTGCACTTGGATCAAGTTGACCTCTTTAGGTGTTGTGAACATGAACAAAGGCGGTGCACCCAAATATGCGGGGTGTGAGGCCATTTGATGTTCAAAAGTGAGGATAAAATTGGTTGAGGACTTTTATTGGACGTAGATTATTTAGGACACGAGATGGAAGACAATTAATCATGTGAGTTGCAGAAAGAACTGCCTTTCCATAGTACATTCTTGGCATCTTTCCATGAAAAAACAATGCTTGGGTAGTGTTTAAAATGTGTCCATTTTTCCTCTCGGCTACTCCATTTTGCTATGGTGTAACAACACATGAAGAATCGTTGATAATGCCTTGAGATTGGAAATATGGGAATAAGGCTTGATTGAAGTAGTCTCTAGCATTGTCCATTCAAAATGTCTTGATTTTGATTCCAAATTGGGTTTGAATCATTGAGTGGAAGATAAGAATAATATTACTGACGTTTGATTTTTGTTTGAGAAGGGATAGCCATGTAACTCGAGTAAAATCATCAATTAATGTGAGAAACCAACGAGCATCGGAGATACACAAGTATGTTTGGCAAATTCACATGTATCACTATGAAAACCAGAGACTTGAATCCTAAAAACAAATCTGGAAACATAATTTCCAAAACTCTAAATGAGGGTGACCCATGCAAAAGTGAAAATTAACCAAATTAACCTGACTCCACCTGCATGGTTAATCGTTTATGTGTTCATGTGCATGATTTTCTATGCTCATGTTTGCAGAATTTTTAATAATCTGTTGATGTATGGGTCATGGTCATTGGTTAAGCCACGAAATTGTTGCAGTTGGAGTCTTTGACTTCATGGTGTCCTTTTCTTTCTTACTATTTAAATTTAAAAATTGAATGGAATTAGATATTAAGGTAGGCCTATCTTTCTTCTTTATCTGTTGAATTTGTTTTGTGATCAGTCCTGGCTACTTACTTGTTCAGTGGTGATATATGATAATACCTTTTCCTCTCCCCATAATAATCGTCGTTTGGTATTAATAAGGCAAATCTGAAGTTTATTCGTTGTATCATCTTCACATTGAACAATTTTTTTTGATGATTATTTCAATAGTATCTCAGGAATACTGGGCCTCTGTTGGATGTGCTGTGATGCAATGCAGTAACACAGAGGTATGTTTGGTGTTGACCCAACCCTGTTATCTTTATGATATATTGAAGAGATGTTTGTGTTTATCAGAAGTTTTTCAGTATAAAAGTGCAATTATTTTAAATAGTTTCTGTCATTGGCCAGGTTGGTGCAGGAACCATGAATCCCTTGACATTCTTAAGAGTTCTTGGTCCAGAACCTTGGAATGTTGCGTAAGTATTATTTGACCCATATCTGCATGAGAGAATGCCTCGTTATGCATTGTCTCACTTTTGGTGTCTCCTTCATTATATATAGATTAGAAATGCATGGATTGTTTGTTTCTTTTTTCATTTTTTTGCAAAGGTGCGATTGAGGACTTTGACCACCTTTTTGGGAGTTGCTCTTTTACTAGTTTAATGCAAGAAATGAAATATTTGTCGATATGTTGATATATTTGCGAATTAGAGACTTCTACATCAATATAAGGATTAATTGATGTCTTTGTTATCTCCTATAAATCCACATAAAACATATAAAGTATTTTCTATAAATTCCCATACGGATATGAATACTAATAACAAGGTCTAAAACTACATTTGAAAGTACAAACAACTTAGTTATTAATTTAAATAATTTTATAAATATTTTAGAAATCTTCGTCGATATCATTATTGTATCGATATATCTATCATTGTGTCCGTATAATTGAAATACCAATATCAATATTAACATCGGTATTTTAATCCTTTATTTGAAATGAGACAATTTCTTTGAGGAGTTTGGCTACCAGGGCACTAGATCGAAAGATGTGTATTCGAGGGTAAAAGAGTACCCTTTTCATTCGCCCATTTTGTGAGAAGGGTCGGTTTATGTGGATTAGGGTTATGTGTGTATTTGGATAGAGAGGACCAACAAGGTGTTTAGAGGGCTGGACGAAGCCAAGGAGGATATGTGAGCCCTTTACAGCTTTCGTTTGGTTCGATTATTAAGTCATTTTGTAATTACCCATTATATTTCATTTTATTTGATTGGAGCTTTTTTTTTTTTTTTTTTTTTTAGTTTGGCTCCTTTTGGTTGGAGTTGGATTTTTTTATTCAAAGTATTTCTTTTTTCATCTTTCGTAATGTAAATTTGACACTTTATCAGCAAAAAAATCTCCATCTGCTTGTGATCAGTCACATTAGTGAAAACATAAAAGCTTTTACTGCTGGTGGAAATATAAAATTTTAATTGCCAATGTGGAAATTTTTGATTGAAGGTATGTGGAGCCTAGTATACGGCCAGATGACAGTCGCTATGGGGAAAATCCAAATCGACTCCAACGCCACACTCAATTTCAGGTTACATTTATGTTTATGATCTAACTTCCGAGTTGTTGAATGATTTGTCAAGCTCTCTATTAATTATCGTTGAAATTTCTACTATTTATGTGTAAGCATTAGTTGTGATTGTCTGGTTTTTATTGTCATTATTCTTTGCTTGTGTAATAGCTTTCTCATCCATAAACAAAGACCAAAGATGCACAGGTTGATATAGAACAGTTTATTTTTTAACCTTTCTAAATCAAGAGGTTGACGAACATTTTATTAAAGAAAAAATTGTTGTAACTGTGATGTGTATTCCTTACCTTCCAACATTAGAGCAGATTGCAGAAGGAATAATCTCAATTTGAGGAATATTGATGTAATCCCATTACATAAGGGATTTAGCCTGTTTTCTATTCTCTATAGAATTAATTAGCGTTTCTTTATTATAAATAGGTGTATGTATTTCTCTAATAAATAATAAGAAAGAAGAGGAATACACATTACTCTTGCAACGTGGCATTAGAGCCTTTATAGTTTAGGTGATTAAACCTAAGGTCTACCCTAATCGGTGAAGTCTTCATAACTGCTGGTCATTGATTGTGTCCAATACCCACCTTCCCTTCTGTTTATTCCACCATCAAGTCAGAAGAATAAAATCCCTTCACCAGTAGAGGAAGTTCCTGCAACCTAGAAGATAGGTGACCAATACATCTGATTTTCATACTGACTCGACAGAAAAAACTTTCTCAAATGGTCTCAAGTTATGTGGACGTACCTTAAGGGAAAGGGAAAACTTCGACATCTTGTTGGACCAGGACCAGTGAAGATGACTCCAGAATTTATACAAGAAAGACTCCATAATAATGTCATGGCTCTGGGATTCTATTTATCCATCCATCAACGATGTATGTATGTTTTTACAGATCTCACAAGCTATAAGGGACTTCATTCATTGCACTTACTCCAAGACTCGAGATGCAACTCAAATTTATGAGATAAAGATCATGACTAAACCAGGAAGCAAGAAGGAAAAATTGCCTTACAAACATTGCGGCAGGAACTCTACTATTATTGGGTATTTGAGGTGCAGTGCACTGCAAATACCGTAATTCTGAAGAACTTTACTGAAACACACCGTGTCTATGACTTTTTGGCAGGTGTCAACAATGAATTTGCCTAAGTCGAGTACAAATCATCAGAAAAGAAGAAACACTGTCCTTAGAAGCAACAATCTCCTTTAGTCAAACTGAAAAGAGCAGACGAAATCTTATGCTTGACAAATAACTAGTGTTGATGCATCAACCATTGTTGTAGAGAAAGAAAGAAAGAAACAATGGAAAAGACCGCCCATGGAAGTGCAACTAAGACAATTTATGGTGTACTTGTTGCAAGAACTCGAGAGTTCTTGGAAATTGAATAGAAAACCTCCCAGTCATGAATTGAGAAATCATGGAGGCTCACAGAATCGTGTTTGGGGACACAAGAGAGTAATGTTGAAGACATGTGCTTACACCGTGGAGGAGTCCAAATTACAACAAAAGCCATTTGGAGACAAGTGCGGTTAACTTTTGGATTATAAACTCTGGTGCAACTGATCACATGACCCTCACTCACAGTTTTTCAAAACATACAGACCATGTCTGAATAGTCGAAAAATTATGGTGGCAATGGGACTCATATCATTGTTGCAGGATTAGGCGATTCATCTCTCAAATCCTTGCACTAAAACATGTCCTACATGTCCCAAAACTATCTACTAGTCTCAATTCCATACAAAAGCTTGCCCATAACTGTCACTGTAGTGTTATTTTCTCCTTGTTATGTTGTATTTTTCAAGATCAGATCTCGAGAGATGGTTAAATTTGGTAAGGATTGGCCAATATTACTTGCAATTACTTGAGAGAATAACAAGCTTCACACCTGTGCCCTTTCTTAGTTCATCCAATATGATGTGATATGGTTACATCACCTTTGCATGAGTCATCCCTCCTTAAGAGAATAATATGTTTTATCCTTTCTAAATTAAGAGTACTTATATATGCTTATTTTATTTTATTTTATTTTATTTTTGTTTCCCTCTTCAGTTTAATTTTCTTTTATGTTACATGTGATCCACAGGTGATTTTGAAGCCTGATCCTGGAAACTCACAAGACCTTTTCATCCAAAGTCTCTCCGCTTTAGGTAGGACATAGATTCTTTAACGATCCATTTTGATGAACTTTGGTAAAATAAGTATGCTCATATTTGATAACATGCCATTGTTGCAATGTGGAAAAAGTTATGCGTTTTTATTTTTAAGTTTCCACACATCTATACACTTTCTTATATTATATGATTCTCATCAATTGTGAAGTACACATTTTTTTATAAAAGATGCAAGTGTTTCATTAATGAAAAGTTTGTTGATAGCCCAAGGTATATTTAACGTTTTCGACTTGTGCCAAGAAAAAATCTTCACCTTCTTGGGGGAATGTAATGAAATATACGGTCAGCTGATGCCATATGCCTCTTCTATATGCCTTATAGGAATTGATGTTGCTGCACATGATATCCGTTTTGTAGAGGACAATTGGGAGAGTCCGGTAATCTGTCATATATTGTCCTACCGTTTCCTTTCTTTTTCTTTTTTCGTTTGTAGGGATGCGTGTGTTAATGCTACCATGTTCTACATCATTATATTGGTTCTTCTTTTCATTTCATTACTTGTTAAAAAACTTTATTACTGATTAGTCTCTTTTCATTTCATCAATAAAAAGTTTCATTTCTTGTTAAAAAGAAAACTGGTATTTACTGCTGAAATGAAGAGGAAAAAATAACAGAAAGCTGAATAATTACTATGGAATTTAAATAACCTCAGAATGGGTTGCCGATTGGTCATCCTATGGATAGACATTTGCAAAATTTCAGTCCACTGGCTCTTTAAACTTCGCCACAAAATGGGATTGGATTCCCAGCTAGCATAGGTAATATCTTCAATTTCCACCGTGCTCTTCAAGCTGAGCTTGAATGGATCAATTTTTCTTAGTTAGCATAGGTAGTATCTTTATAAGTTCGTCTTCACTTTTCCTACAAACGATAATGTTTTGTGTAAAGCAACCGTTCTCATTGTTGCCTATTGTCAACATTTTGTTCTGTCTTGGTGTTGATATAGATGAGGAGGCATATTGGCTTTTGTGTTTGAATTGAGTTTAATCACAAGTTTAAATCCAAACTTTGAGTTTTCATTAAAAGTCGTAGGCATCTAGTTTATAAATCCCTTTTCGTCTGTTTGAACTCTAGTTATGCACTGGACTTGCCAATTGTTTTCTACCTTTCTTACAAAATTTCCCTGATAAAATTGCAATATTAGATCAAGTTTTCTTCCTAAATCAAATCTGAATGAGGCATGCTCCATGTCTAATTGATGGTATATAGAGAATGGAAGACCTTCCTTGATGTCTCTCTCAAGCGAGATTAATGGTTACATTATTCTTCGGTAGAATACTTACGGTTTCTTTCCTAGTCAACTAGAGAATAAATTGGTGTGACATCTAGACTCTTCATGTTTCCTAGTCAATTAGTGGGAAAATTGGTGTGACATCTAGTCAACTGAATAATTGTAGTGGTGGCTCTACGGGTTTGCTTTGGAGTTGAGCTTTGATTTGATGTATCCTTTTTATTTCTTAGCCGTTGTCTTTTGTTTGTATTTGCTTTAAGATCTTGTCTGTCTTTAGGTTCTATTTTCTTTTTCACTCCTTTTGAGAGTTTGTATCCTTTCGAACATTTTCCTTTTCATTATACCAATGAGAAGTTTTTGGTAAAAAAATAAAACAAAAAAAGAAGAAAAGCATCCAAGATGTGCAAAACTAAATTGGTTTGAAACAAAATCCAACAGAAGTTTCAAATCTACTCAACTTTGACAACTTCAAACTTGGTCTTGTGTCTGTGTGTTCAATTCACGTGGGGTTCAAGTTTTGAAAAAAAAGCATGTTACAGCAATGACGATGTTGACAAGCATTCCTTGAATAATTGTGGAAATTAAGAAACTAATAAAAATTTATTTTGCACTTGAATTCATTTTCTTGATTTGGACTGCTCTTTTAGGTACTTGGCGCTTGGGGATTGGGATGGGAAATCTGGATGGATGGAATGGAGATTACACAATTCACTTACTTTCAGCAGGTATTACTAACTGGTCATTTATTTCCGATAAAGAATTAGTGTTATTTAAGTGAAATTCCACACAAATGCAGCTATGTAAACATGCTATGCAATGCAAACATGGAAGAAACTAGTGTAGAAACATTCGATGCACGAGTTGAAGACTTTTTATTTTGTTGGAAGTGGCTATTATATAATTGAATATTATTTCTTCCTGTTTGAGGCAAGTTTTGTGTTTTTAAGATTTTGAAATTCATTGCAAAGATTCAGTGATTTCTCGTACTGTCTGTATTGATCTCGTTTTCTCTATTTTCAGTCTGGAAGTCAACAACTATTGCCCGTATCTGTTGAAATCACTTACGGTCTTGAACGTATCCTCATGTTACTGCAGGTAATTATGGTATCTTAGTTCACCTTTTAAATATATTTTTGAGTATAACATAAACAGGATCATTCTGAGCATAAAAGAGTTTAATTATTATATTTCTAGTGGGAAAGGTTGGGGATTTGAAGTCCTACTCGAGCAAAGATGTTTATCATAAAAGAACAAATTTAAATTGCTTAATTTTTACATTTAAGTAGAAAATAAAATGAACCATATGTAAATTTGAAATTTTCCCTTTTATATTCTCATATTATCAGCATATTTTAATTTCTAAACTTTTAATACCCTTGCATGGTGTGTCTTGATTCTTTATTCTTTGGCCTTGATAAGGTTCAATACTTCTATATTCTTAATGAAAAGATTTTATTTTTCAGTGTTTTCGCTCGAATACATATTATTGCTATTTTGAATCTTTATTCTTTGGACAACTAGTTTTTTCATTATTGGCTTGCTAGTTGGCTTATGGACCTTTGGTTAAAGTTCCTTGATGAGTCCAACCCTTCCTTGGGCACTCGGCATTTTCTAACTGAGTGGCTGTCTTCCTTTCCTTTTTCTTTTTTGGTTTCTTTTCTATATATACATTTTTGACACGAAATTAAAAAGTTTTTTTTTTTTTTTTTTTTTTTTTTGAAAAAGTGATT